ACTCGCTTTCATCGCCTCTAATTACCGTTTGCGAGAGTATAGTAGGACATTGTTCATTTGCACATTTTATCATAGCATCTAATGAATCCTATATTATTTAAAAAATTAATTATTAAATTTTAAATAATAATAATAGAAATATGTTTTCTTTTAAATATAAAATACCTGTAAATATATAGTTACAACTTTATGAAGTTCGTTTGCCATTTCGTGTAATTTTAATTCGATTGGATTATTTTCATCTCGTCGTTGAAGAACTTCATGTAATCGTGGTAAAAGCTAAAAAAATTTCACTTGCATATAAAGATTTATTCATGATTTTTCTTTAATATTTAATATCTTATACCTGCTTAGAATTATCTGCATCTTGTATCAGCCCAGTTGCATAATTAATATCATTATTAGCATCACAGCTTTCTGCAGCAATAGCTTTAATAGTATCTTGAGTTTGTACAACAAGTCTATCGACCATTTGTTGCGTAGAGCTTAACAAAAATCCTTGTTGTAATCTAAATGCTTGTCCATGACTATATTTACATGGTGTAACATTTCTTTGTAATAAATCCTGAATTTTTTTAATTAATTGTTCAGTTTTCTCAGCAGAAGTTTTCATACAAGGTTGTAAATCATAAATTGGAAATGGCATATGTCTTACACTACAATTTCTATAAAAGAATTTCATATATTAAAATATCATATAAATCAGAATATATTAATATATTTTCATTATTAATACATAAAATTATATACTTTTCTAAGGCATGAACAATGTCAGCATAACCTTGAAGAGTAATATTATTTTTGTCATAAATAATGGTCCTCAAATGATTATTAATTTGTAATGCTTTTGCTAATAATCTAGCACCAGGATCTCCAATTTGATTACCACTAATATCTAAGGTATGAAGACATGTATTACTTCCAAGAGCATTAATAAGATTATAGAGATCAGATTTTAATCGAGAATCTGGTAAATGTAATGCTTGTAAAACACAATCATCTTCTTGAAGCATTTGTACAAGAGCATCCATCACAACAGCTATATGTTTGCTTTTCATGCTAATAGTATTACGACCCATATATAATTGTTTGATAGATTTATTTTTTCCTATAGCAGTTATTACTTGTGCTAAATCAACATCCATATCTGTGAAAAAATATAAAATTTAAATATTGAAGTAATAAATTTATTTATATTATAATATATACTTACTGCTATCTGAAATATCCAATGATGCTATGCATCGTACACCATGAATGCATGATTCCAATACATGAGCACCCATAGAGCCTAAATTATTTCCACTCATATCAAGTTCTAAACCAACTGTACTTTCATTGCATGCTAAACCAAGTAATAAATGTTTCAATGCTTCTAACGGCAATTTACAACAAGATATATTTAAGTACTTTAATGAAAGAGTAGCTGTAAAAAACTGTTTAAAACTGGGAGGTATTTCTTTGGTTTTTTTGCTTGAAAAAGAGTTGCGAGCAACATTTAAATGGACTAGATTAGTTGCACAACCCCGTAATAGAGCACCAAATAGCTAGATAAAATAAAATGCAAAATATGAAACTTATTTCTATTTAAATTTAATTAATAGAAAATTAAAATACACACATACACATAATTACTTACACATTCTAGAGTTGTATCTGTACCACTTAGATCTAAATGAGTTAGACTATTAGGTTGTGCCAAAAAATTGCATAAATTCTGTAAATATATAATAATTATTTTTCATTTATTATTATTTATTATATATTAAATTAACATAACTAATTATTTAATTAAGCTTTAAATAACTTACATTGATATCATCTTTCAAAGAGTTTTCTGAAAGATTCAAATATTGTAAACTAGTTGGCATGCTTCTATTTAAACTTAATGCATGTGCAATTTGACTTATTCCTTTTCCAGTTAATCCACAATGTGCCAAGTTTAATTTTTGTAAACCCTTAGCTAATTTCCCAATAGGTCCGCTTAAATGTGCACCTCCTTAAAAATGATATTATTGAAAGTATTATTATTACATTATTGTGATATTATAAATGAAAAACTTTTAATTATTTATTTAATAATTAATAGATAAAGTAAATAAATAATATAGTATATATTAATAATAATTACAATATATATTAACAATATAATATTATAATATAACATTATATAAATTTATATAACATATACTATTAAATATATATAAGTTATAAATATGTTATGAATATTAAATAATTAAATATATTAAATATATTAAATATATACTGAAACAATGAATGAAGGATTGTGTTTCTAAACATAAAATGTTAAGGATTTTAAAAACATTAATGATTATTTGCACACCTTGCATTAATTTGGCTATTATCCCACACAAGCTAGAGGCTCCTATAAAAATATAAAAAAAAAAATTGTACAGGGATACTTTAAAAATATATTTAAAAACTAAAAAATAAAAAATTATAAACATAAAATGGATTTTTTTACTAAGGAAAAATATTTTATATAAAAATCTCTATATATAATACTTACCTTTATCTTCAATAGTATTATAAGATAGATCAATAGTCTGTAATATTGTATTAGCATTAGAGATTAGAGCTAACGATAATTTGTGCGCAAAATCCCTAAAAAAAATAATATTTTTTAATTCATTATATAAAATTACTTTTATAATTTTTATACTTTTTTTTATTTTTACCATTTGATTCCAAGATTATCTAAATAAAGTTCTTGAATAGAAAGGGATCTGCGCATAACATGTAACAATCTTTCTAAAGATTCATGACTCAATTTAAGATGAGATGCCCTTAATTTAGTAAACCAAGTATTATATTCCAAGGCAGAAATAATTGGCACCAAATCTTTTTGATCTAAATGATCAAAATCTCTTAAATTTAACTCTCTAGTATCATGAGAGAGATATATTGTATCAACATCCTATAAATGAAACTTTCTTAAGAAAAAATTCAATAACATAATATAATATAATATGTTCATATACTTTAACAAGTTACCCAAGCTACTTCTTCTCTATATGGTACACCATGTAAATCACACATGCATGCATATTGAGTTGAAAACCCTCCACAAGGTCCTGTATGTCTTGTTGCTTCTGTACTTCTAGCTAATTCACTACCTCTTATGCTCTGCAATCTACTAGCTGGTATTATTTCTATTTTTCTTATAATATAACTATAATAAAAATCATACGACATTAATATCAATAATTTCAATAAAGATAAATACATAAAAAATACAAAAAAAAAAATAATATATATACTTTAATGGTACAGTAGGAAAGATATTTCGAATTGCAGTATGTAAGGCCTCAATCATTGCATCTACTTCTGCAGTATCTGCACCTGCTCCCGTGGTAGTAAAATTGTAATATCTTTCCCCAACATTTAAAGATAACTGATTTGCTCTTTTGGATTCTATAGATGTTATTTCTAAATAGTGAAAATGGCAGTCAATCTGTAAATTAATATTTAATAAAATTATAAAATAATTATTATAATAAAAAATTATTTATATATTTATAAACTTACTCTTGTGGGCACTTTAGCCGTCAATAGAAATAAACGGCATGGTGAAAAGACCTTAATTCAAAAAAATTAATTTTTTATTAATATATTACTTCAAATAATTTTAAAAATTCTACTTCATAATTCTATATCACAGTGTTCTAATATTTTATTACTTACCAGAACACGATTTTCTTGCTTATCTTGTTTTGTTTCCAGTTTTACAACATTTTTTAACAATATCTTGACATGCTTACCTAATAATGCTTTCACTGATTCTATAAAAAATAATTTATGAAAAATAGATTTATATGTATTTATAATTAATAAAATGTACAAAATTAATAGAAAGATTTCTAAAATTCAATTATGATCCAATTCCTATAATTATAAAGTGAAATAAGAAAACTAATAAAATTAAACATTATTAAATATTATTATTAAATAAAGATTATTTAAAAGAAAAAAATCATATTTTTTTATGTATGACAGCTCGATAATACGAACGTAAACATTCAATAAAAGACAAACCATTTAAATCTTTCGTAAGTTGCGATCTTGTTGACATTTTGCTAATTGATTTATTTTTCAAACATCAACTGATCCATTTAAGACATCATTTTTTCTTGTCACACAGTGACCAAAGTCTTGTAACTTTTTAAAAAAATGTTAAGATAAAGGGCGATGTCACGAAACTATAAAGCTGAATAGCCGCCATATTAGCACCTGCCCGTAATCCATTCTGTTTCATTCCGATTCGTTCCATTCTTATAAGTGTATTTATGTGAATTATTTTTAAAAGATTTTTTTTCGTTTTATCAATATATAGTATATTCTCAATTATAATACATAATTTAATACACAATATAAAAAATATTATCGCTTTTTCAATTCTATTGCTGATTGATACAATAATTTATAATCATATCTTTGATGAATTATACTAATTATACTAATTATATTTAAAGATATTTATGTTAATTATTATATAATATATATATGTTTTACTAAGTTTTACAATTACCATAATATTTAAAACTGATTAGTAAAATATTTTTTTTATATATAATATATAGAATTATAATATATTATTAATATACAATAATAGATATTTAATAATAAATAAGATTTATTATATTCTTTTTTAAATTGTATTTTATGTTATAATATAACAATATTTAAATAAAAAAAAATATTACTGAAATATCTGATATTATTATAATATTATAAAGTATTATGGAATAATTAAATATTACTTATAATTTATAAAATAATTATTATATATAATATATATATTTATATATTATATATATAAATTATTATATTATATATATAAATTATTATATATAATAAAAAATAAAATAGATATAAAATTATACATTATGATCTATAATATATTATGATCTATAATATATAACATATATATTTATATCGCAGACGAAAGTGATCACATCATTTTATTTTAACTTCAGAATTCAATTTATTTTATTGATTATTTTATTGATAATTGATAATCGAAATGTTTACTGTAAAAAAAATTTTTAGCAAAAATTTACAAATTCCTTTATATAGAACTTGTACAGTAAATTCAAAAATAATTGAAGTCACGAAAAATGATACAGGTAATGTTATGATTATTTTAATTTCATGAAATAAGTTTTTATTTAATAATTTTATTTATCAGATATTGCTACAATATCAATGGCACAACCACCTGTAAACTGTTTAAATAAAGAATTATTAAATGCTTTAAATACATCTTTAATGGATGTACAGAAACAGAAATGTCAAGGTGTTATATTAACATCATCATTGTCAAATATATTTTCAGCTGGAATTGATATAAAAGAAATGTATAATAGAACTGAAAAACAACTTATTGAATATTGGACTACAATGCAAAACACATGGTTAACTTTATATAATTTGGAAATACCAATAGCTGCTGCTATTAATGTATTATTTTAAAAATTATTAACAAAATAATTAATATAATTATACAAACGATATAAAAAATTATTTTTTTAATAATATATAAATATTTATAATGTAATTTTATTAATAAAGGGTTCTAGTCCTGCTGGTGGATGTTTATTAGCAATGTCTTGTGAATATAGAATTTTAGTTGAAGGAAAACATACCATAGGATTAAATGAAACACAATTGGGAATCATTGCTCCAGAATGGATGAAAGCTCTTTATATTGATATAATAGGATATAGAAGAGCTGAATTAGCACTTTTACAGTAATTTATTATTGACAAATATATAATAAAACATTTATTTTACTTTATAATACTTATAATTAATAAAAAATATTAATTTAGGGGAACATTGTTTCATCCAAAAGAAGCATTAGAAATTGGACTTGTAGATGAATTAGCTTCAAATAAAGCAAATGCAATTGAAAGATGTCAAAATTACATCAAAAGCTTTAAGAATATACCCTGTAAGTATAATAAAAATCTAAAATAAATAAAATTTAAATAAATAAAATAATTAAAATAAATAAAATACTAATTAAAGTATTTATGAAGTTAAAGGAAGACAAAAAACAAAAATGGAATTAAGAAAACATAATTCATCATGGTTAAAAGCAAATGCAAATTCAGATCTTAATAAATTTATAACATTTATTCAATCTCCAAATGTACAAACTAATCTAAAATTATACATTGAAACTTTGCAAAATAAAAATTTTTAATTCAAAATTAAAATTAAAAATTAATTATGTATAAAAAAAAAATTTAATATAGAGCTTTTATAAAAATAAATTTTCATATAAAAATTTATCATTTTTATAAACATGAATTTTTATATAAAAATATATTAATATATTGAAATGTATTAAATTTATATTTTTCAATAAATATGTATAATTTAATAAAAATACTTACTTTTAAATACTTATTTTTATGAATTATTTAAGAAATATTCTATTAAATTTTAAATAGTTTCAAGTGCTAATATAACTTCTGGATCACTAATATTTAATTGCTGTAAGAGATATAAAAATTCTTCTTGTTGAGAGTCTGCAAAGTGTGCTATTTCTAATGCTTGTTGATTATTTCTTTCAATTTCTTGCCTATCAAATCAAAAATTTAAATTTAAAAGAAAGTATGAAAATATAGGAAAGGAAGAAGTAATTTACCTTGATAATTCTTCATTATATTCTTTAAGCCAATTTCTTAATCGATTTACCATGCTATCTTCTCGAGCATCTATTACCTAGAATTAAAAAACTTATTCTCTTAATTTTCAAAGTGAAGAAAAATTAAAAAAAATATATAGAAATATTATTACTTACCTGTAAATGTCTTTCATGAGAATTATTAAGATTATAATTTAACATATCTTTATCTTCACATAAATTTAATAAATGACGAGGTAGTTTTTGATCCTCTCCAAAACCACTAAGATAATATAAAATTAACCCATTAATAGTGTCATTATATTCTGCTTCACAATTACGTAATTGTGAAAAATATCCTCGTGCAATTGTTAAGAAAGATTCTATCATATCAGAAATATTAATTCTGAATATTTCATTTATATCCTTTGTTAGAACAAAGTTTTTTTTAATATTTTCAATCTAAAATTTTTATATGTGATTTATTTTAATAAAAATATACCTGCATTTGCTCATGCAGATCAACTTCAATAGTCATTAATTTTGTCCATGTTTCAGTTACTATATTATTAAATTCTTGAGAAAGTTGTTGTGCCTTTTGAGTTATATCTTCTAATGTAGCAGCATCTATATCTTCAACTAATTTTTTTAATAATTGTTTAATATTTACTAATGTGACAGCTTTAGTTTGCAAAACTTCATTTACAATCCTGTAATTAGAAATAATATAAATTTTTTCAATTTTATATCTACATTTTTTCTATATCTATATTTCTATTCTATTTCTATATCTATAATCTACATTTTATATTTAATATATATATCACTTACATCCTTCCTTGATTCTGTGAAATATTTTTTCCTTCATTTACACCAATATTATAAAGATTTATTCATCTAAACGTTTATCATATTCTTTTAATCCTACTTCACAAAGTTCTTGACATAGAGTAGAAAAATTTATTTTATATTGTTCATATGCATTTTGTGTATCTTCATTTACCATAGATAAATCTTTTCCTTCTAAATATAAAATTTAATATATTATTATGTACTAATAAATAAAAAAACATAATTATATTTGATAATAACTTTATAAACCTTTGTCATGTTCAAACATTTGATAAAAAAGATGATCTTCATCAAGATATTCTACACATGCAGTAGTAAGAAAAGCTAATTTTTTTTCACGTTCTTGTCTTATATTCAATTCTTCTTTTTCTTTCATTTCTGTTTCTTCTAAAATATGTAAAGCTCTACTATAAATTATATAATATTAGTAAATTTGTACAATATGAATATACATATATATATTTTTATTCATATTATATATTATTATATTTATATATATATAATTACATATATGATATATAATATATAAATATATTATAAAAATTGTATAATTACTAGTGTTTTTCTCTAGCTGTTTGTCTTTGTTCTTTAGTTATCATTTTGTACTCATAATAAATTAATTGAGGTATAAATGCAAATACATAATCTAAATATCCCTCTTCTTCTGTGCATGGATTTCCACTCATGTTCAAACTATATAAATTTTTAAATTTTCTTAAATATAATACCTGAATAATAATACAAATAAATAAAAATACAAAAATATAAAATTTTCAAGATTAATTTGATAATTATAAATAAATTATAATGATAAATGATACATACATGTTTCCAATTTGATATAATATTATTACCAATACTAAAAATCGTAAGATGGTATAAACTATCTATATTTTCTATTTCATTAATTTCATTATTAAATAAAAGTAATATTTCTAATTTTGTTAAATTCTCTAAATTTTCTATTATTTTAATACGATTGAAAGATAGATCTAATTCTTTCAAATTAACAAGAGCATCAAGATTTTCTATTTTTTCAATTATATTATTGCATAATTTTAATTTTGTAAGATTTGGCATCATCCATAAGTAATCTATTTTTAAAATATCTAAAAAAATGGGTTTATATTATAATAAATATACGTAAAATCAAAATCACAATGAAATCAATATCATATTTAATACATACTAAGAAATTCGATTCGAATTTCTTTTGTTTCATCCAAGTTAATACCATCCTCATAAAAGAGTCTACCAGCTATTCCTTTTGGTCCTTGTTCAATTATTAAGTTTAATAACATATCTTCATTTATTAGACGAGGCTGTGCAAATTCTTGTAATATGGTAGGAACATCATTTGCATTCATTTTTAAATATTTTATAAAATTATACAAAATTAAATCGATAACTATGAGAAAATATTATTTTATTGTATTATATCATATTGTTTTTATTTAGTTGCTGCGCAACGATGATTTATCAACGAGAATTATTTATAATTAAACAAAGGGCTAAACTATATAATCATAATTAAGTCGTAATCAAATTAAATCGTTGAATAGTATATATTGACATTAATATAGTATATTTAATTAAATTAATATAATTATATATAAATATTAAAAATTAATGCTTCGAATATAAATTATTTAATAACAAGCATCTTTATAGAAAAATATTTATAAAAGTTAATTATATATATTTTTCTTTTACTTCGCGCATAATTAATTGATTCTTAAAACTTTATTTTTAAATCTAAAATCCGAATAAAAATTATATATATATTTAATGTATAACAAATTATTTTTTATAAATTTTTGTTTTTTTAACACTCTATATTTGGTTATATAATTATACATATTTAAATATTGATCCAAAATGAAAAGAATCTAGAAATTATATATTCTATGATCAAATTTCAAAGATAATTATTAAATTAAATTATATTTTTTATCATACGAACAAAAAATTTAATAAAAATTTTTATACAATGCAATTTATCTTTTTCTATTAAATTATCTAATTATTATAAAAATTAAAAAAAATTTAAACAGAAATTTAAATCATGACTAAAAATTTCGAAAAATTCTTTCATTTTTAATATATAGCATAAATAAATATTTAATTTTATTTTAAATCTAAAGAATTATTAATAAATTCATTTTGAATTAAAATATTTTTATTTGTTATGAATAAAATGAATTTGCTTTAAATGTTAGATCCAATCAGAATGATATTCTGAAAGTGCTGTACCTGATTGGTTAAAATTTCATGTCATTTTGTATTTGACGTCTGTCTTTATCATTGTATGGGTCATATGATACTGACGTTCTCAGTATAAAAAGTTTTTAATTTATTATTAAATATTGTTCCTGTCAAAATTTGTTACGTGCCTTACATATGCACAAGTAAATCAAATTAATATAATTGAATACAAAATCAATTTCATATATCGTGCAATAATGTCATTTTTTGGAGTAAATGTCAATCCATTTTCGACACCAGTAGGACAGAAAATAGGTAAGTTTCTTATTTATCTTTACAAAATATGTTATATTAATTAATTTAATAATATAGTAATGATTAATTAGTGAATTTTTTTTATGTGAATATCTGCTTGTATGTCAATATTAATTAATACTTAAATACCTATAGATTTCTTTTTTCTACATATATATGTCTTCAGACATTTGTATCATGAATCATAATTTATAATATTAATATTTAATATTTTTTATTAAAAAAACCTGTAAAAAATAAAGTAATATTTTTAATTTTATATTCCAGAGCAAGCTACAGATGGTACTTTGCCAAGTGAAAATTGGACACTTAATATGGAAATATGTGATATTATAAATGAAACAGAAGATGGGCCAAGAGATGCAATTAAAGCAATTAAACGCAGACTTAATCAGGCTGCTGGAAAAAATTACACCATAGTCATGTATACTCTTACTGTTAGTATATATATTTTTAATAATATTTATATAATATATTTATTATTTTGGACAATACATATACAACAATATATATAACATAACAATATAATAAAAATATTATATATAATTAAATAATATATTAATATATATAATAATATATATATTAAATAATATATTTATTTTTTAATTTTATTTTTAATTTTATAAAATAATAAGATATTCTTGTTATTATTTAAGATTAATTTTAATTATAACTTAAACTACTAAATTAATCAACTTTTTTTTTAAAACTTTTCTATTCCTATCAAATATAAAAATATATAAAATTTATATATTTTAATGAATCAGGTATTGGAAACATGTGTAAAAAATTGTGGAAAACGTTTTCATGCTCTTGCTTGTTCACGAGAATTTGTACAAGAATTGGTTAAGTTAATTGGACCAAAAAATGAACCGCCAACGGCAGTGCAAGAAAAAGTTTTAAGTCTAATTCAAACATGGGCAGATACATTCCGCCATCAACCACATACTCAAGGAGTTGTTCAAGTATATCAAGAGTTAAAAGTAAAAGGCATACAATTTCCAATGACAGATTTAGATGCTATGGCACCTATTATCACTCCAGAACGAGTAAGATTTTTTTATTTTAATTGATAATTATTAAAATAATTATATAATTATTAATACAATTACAGAGTGTACCTGAATTAGAACAAAATGTCATGAATATACCTACAATTGAACAACAATCAACAACTTCTATAACACCACAAATACAACAATCTCAAAATCAATCTTCTGGACAATTAACTATGTTGAATGAGCAACAAATGGCTAAATTACAAAGTGAACTTGATGTTGTACAAGGAAATATGCGGGTTTTATCAGAAATGTTGGCATATTTTACAAGCTCAGATCAGAATAATAGTCAACAACCTGATCCTGCAGATCTTGAACTTTTATCTGTATGAATATAATTATTTATTTTATATGAATAATATAGCAAATATCTAATAGTAAATATTTGTTAAAACTATTTTTCTTTTTTAATAATGTTTTATATATAATATTGAAGAAAATTTTTGTATTGTAATTAAACATATTAAATAATAATAAATATATAATTTTACTATTTATAGGAACTTCATTCTACATGCAAAGCAATGCAAGAACGAGTTGTTGATTTAATTGGAAAGTTGGCTCATGATGAAATGACAGCAGAATTATTACGTATAAATGATGAATTAAATAATTTATTTTTGCGTTATTCACGTTATACGAAAAACAAAGCTGTTGCAGCAAGTACTATTTTGGCACAAACAATTGGTCATCCCCAAAACATAGATTCGGTTTTATCAATTAATAAACAAGAAGCTGATTCTCTTATTGATTTATCTGATGAAACTGATGCTTTGGAAAAAAAAATGACAGAAATAGGTAATTAATGACAGAATAGATATTATATTTCTAATACATAAACAACATTTACAATTCTTTATATTAATTATATTAAATTACAGGTATATCTGATAATATTGACAAAAATAGAATAGACAGAAAAGAGAAAAAAGAAGGTGATAATGATGAATTTGACATGTTTGCACAGTCACGAAATACATCTTATGAAACTATAAAGAACAGGTTTTTAATATTAAATTAATTTTAATTTTTTATATTATATATATATTATATATTATATATGTATACAATTATTTTATTAAATTTTTATTTATTTTTATTATAGTGGTAGCAAATATGAGGATAATTTGGAGCAGGTGAGCGGAGGAAGTCTCAATACAGCGATTCTTAATCGCAATAATCCTAAGTATCCCCAGCAGACTGCTTCTACAGTTGCTTCTACTACCGCTACTTCTGTGCGTAATTCCTATTATAATTATAGTAATTATTGCTAAGCATTTAATCAACTTAATCATTTGATCAATATAAGTACTAAAAAAATAAGATTATTATAAATATTAAATTTATTAAAAATTTAATTATATATTATCTTGCAAAAATTATATCTTTGTATATAATTTAGTTATGAATTTGTACTGAGATTAAAATTATTCTGATAAAGGTAAGAGAAAAAGAGAATATAATATTTATTAAATTTGTAATATTGAACATATTCTTATTTATTTAGTAGATTTAATTAGTCACTGCTTTTATTTGCTTTCTATAGCATGAAGTAAATTAATTTTTTTTTATTTTTCCTTTTGCTTTATTTTTGCCTATATTATGCATATATTTACGTATTTATTATTTTGTTTGATATGTTTATTTTTATTTTTTTATTTTTTTTTAACATTCAGATGAACCGGGAATCTGAATTTAATGAGATGGCAGCCTGGTTAGATCATACGGTGAGTTATTAATAAAAATTAATTTAAGAATAATATAATACTGAATATTATTTTCTCAAATGTGTTTATTTCAATAAATTATGTTAAATTATATTTAATAAATATTAAAAAAACTTTTTCTTTCTGTTCAGCCAGGAACACATGGTGATCAAGAATCCTTAACATCGTCCGAGTTTGAGCGTTTCTTAGCAGAACGAGCAGCTGCGGCTGAAGCTTTGCCAACATTACCCGCAACTACTACTGGAAGTACTACTAATTCTGAAAACTCTAACATTCAACGCCAAATTAATAAGGATCAAGATAAATCTTTATTTGCTCTTTAAACATAATTTTCATATTTACATTCTAGAAAACAGATGGAAATTAAATTTGTTCTGTTTTGACATCAAATATACATTCTAATAAATCAATGCTTCTAATAATGATTCTAATATTAGGAACATTGATAAAATAAATTAAAAAAAAAATACTATACAAAGAAAAATAAAGAAAAAGAAAATGCTTTGCGCTTCTTTGTACTTAAGAATATAATTGATACTAAATGATCATAAATTAGCATTTTATTAAGTTGTAAAAATTTAATAACAATGAATAACTTATTTTAAAATAATCGTTGCGCGTAAATATTACATAATACAGAAGTAGGAATTATATCTTATATTATTTGTATATAAAAAGCACATTGTAAGCAAAATATTATTAATATTATTGTATTATTAATAATATAATATTAATATATAATACAATGTGTGATCTCATGCCTTGGAACTATATAAGAATTATTAATTTATGCAGTTGCATTTTTCAAATTTGCAAATTTAAAAAAATTTTAATGTGAATGAAAAGAAATGAATATTTCATTATGTAATTGACTTTATTAAGCTATAGATGAAAATATTTTTAAATCTATATCTTGATTTTAATTAATATTCTAAATAATATGTATAAATATGTATTCATGATATATTCATTATTGTAGTAATTTTGATTTTTTTAAAGTATTATTATCTTAGAATAATAGAAATTTATTAATAGCATTGTTATTATATTATAATTATGTACTGATATTACAGATAATTAATATATTCTAAAATTATATTATAGGAATATATCATTGGTAATAAGGAACATTATGTATATTTTATGTTTGTGATTTATGATTTTTAAATTATAGCTTTATTTTAAAGAAAGCAAATTCATTAAGTTTTATGATAAGAATTAAAGTTTTTTATAATAATTTTAAAAATGTGATAAACCATTATGAAACTATAAATGTTTAATTTTATAAAATTATGTATTGCATCCTTCTACCAATGAATATTTTACTTTAATATCAAATAGTAAAATATTTTTACTAAAAATAGATTACTTTTGACAAATAGTGCAACATAGCACTAAATATATTAATACTTATATTCTAGAATAGATAAAATATTTAAAAATATCTCAAATAGATATTTGAAACAATTAAATTTGTTTATTTATATAAATTGTATTTAATAATTTTAACCAATTGTAATCAATTTCTATGCATCAATTTTTATACATCATAAGAAATTTTCTTCTATTTTATGCAATTATTATGATTATTGGATATTAGGAAAATTAATTTTATATTTTCAATAATTTCTTTATGTTAGAAAATTATAATAATTGTTTAAAATTATATATGATTTTTTCATTTTATAATAAACTTTTCTAATATTCTAACATATGGATAATTATGTCAGAAAGTTCCAATCCTTAAATAAAATTAGGAATAAATATATATAAAACATAAAATTATAATATAAATATTCAAAGATTATGAAAATTAATGTAAAATTTATTTATGTTATTATTTAATCTACATTATATTTTACATAAATTTTAGAATTGGATTTCTATTGATAATATTTTAATATTTTAAATTATTTCGATTTTGTATTTAAATTATTAAATATTATAGATAAATGAAAAAATCTTATCTTTGATATTTAGAGTCCTATTTTTCAAATAAATTTATCTTCTTATTAAATATAATTATATAATCAGATCAAATGAACTGTTTTATAATAAATTATATTAATATTAAAAATAATTAATTTTTCTTTATGAATATCTAAAATATGTGTGTAAATTATTTTTTGTCATTTATAATGGGAAAATCCTCGAATTAAAAATTCAAATTAAAAATCGAATTGATTTGGACTATTGAATTAGTATATGGTCATATACATTCGTAAATATTACTTATATATACATATTAATGCAATAGCACAAGCTGAGATCACGTGGTTTATTCATCGTGTATTTCACGTTGATCATTTCAATCCGTGCGGTTGGTCTAATCAGTTCTACTTAGAGTTATATAGTAATTTACTTAATTCTAAACTAAGATTTTAAGATTAATCTCGGATGATCTGTTATCGCAAATATAGTTCGAAGTTATTGTTGTACTTCTCTCATAAGAAACATGTACACTGTATCAAAAGGACCTAGCAAGATAGTCGCTAAGACACGAAGAGGTATTTGAAAAATATTTAATTTTATATAAACATTTATAATGTTAACTTCATTAAATTATTATAATTTTTTAGGAATTAGTCAGAATCTTGAAAGATTGGAAACTTTACGTGATTTAACAAGGAAAGCAGATCCTGATGACGATCAGGAGATCACCCGGTAATACTTTCATATATCTTAAACTTGCTGTTTTCCTTTTCTTTTTTTATAACTCCAGTATTTCAGCATTACGCAATTCATAATTCTACATTCAAAAAAGCACGTATAATTTTTATGTTATATTTTTTATAATGACTCATAAATAAAATATTCTATAACTATTATGCTTTGAAAATATTCTATAGAATTCTTTTTTATATTAACATTACAGATGCTATGTTAATATATATTTGTTATAACATATATTAATATTTATTTCATAGCCATGTGCCAAAACCAGTCTTTCACATGAATGGGAAATCTAAATTCAGTTCACAGAGACATCAAATGCAAGAAGTTATCACTCCTCAACATGAAGAACTTATTAAATTTGTTTATGAATGTAAGTTAAAAAGATTTATGTTAATATGTATTCATAAAATATAAATTTTAATTCATAATATATAAAAATATATAAAAATATTAATATAAAAAAAATAAAATCGTATATAATATATATATATATATATATAATATTGATATTATATTAATATTATAATTATAATTTTTATTTATTAGCATGGAATCAAGTTAATACACGACAAAGAAGTGAATCTTCTGATGGTTCAGATTGTTCAGAACCTTCCAGTAAGTCTTTTATACTTAATTAAAATGAATTGTAAATATTTAACTTTTATTTATCTTTTTAAGCTTTATATATATATATATTATATATATATAATTGAATAAAAATATTTTATCAATTTTAGGTCCTAATACTATAGTATATTACAATGATGGTGAACCAAATGATACTCTTCAAGGTAATTTAAATATTTATTTTTGTTTAAGAAAAATGATCAAGATATGATCAAGATAGCCTGTAACAATTATGTTTTAGATTTTAAACCATTTGATTTGGAATCATGGTGGGGTAAACGATTATTTAATAATATCACAAAATCACTTTGAAAAAAGGAGAAATTTATAAAAGTTATGAAGATATATCTCAAAGTAGTTCAGAATGGTAAACAGTGCTAAACATTAGCCTGTTTTGTGTTTTAAAAGTAATCTAAGAACCAGTGAATTGTGTAGAATTAAATCTGAAGATTAGAAACAAACCTAATTTGTTGGATATCACAATTAGTGAATTTGAATTGTTATATAATTCATACATATTATATTTGTTACAATGAATTGTATACATGTATATTGTTTTTGTAAAATTGTAACTTTTTATTATATGTATAAATAATCGTACAACTTTTTAAAATTAACTTTATATATTAGAAACACACAAACATAAAGCTTTTTAAAATTAAATTTATATATTAGAAATTTTATGTACATGAATATAAATTTTTTTGACTGTTTTAATATTCAATAAATTTTTAATGATTTGCATGAATTCAATATGCATAATTATCAATAATTTTTTTGAATATGTAATATAAAAATTACATAATTCTTTATTGTTATTTCATGTTTATAAAGCTGTTTTAAAATTTTAATCAATGTAAAAGTGTACAGAAATTTCATTTAAATATAAAGTATAATCCAAATTTAATTAAATGATAAAATTAATGTGATACAAAATATGATTGCTATTTCCTTTTTTAAAGTAATGCAGGTAAAAGTATACAACTCATAAATATATACCAAATAAGTTAAGTATACATAAAATTTCCTGCGTAGTATGAATGCAGCGTGAAAATAATGAATTTTTAATAGAATGATGTAAATATTACATGCATCGTTTGTGTGAATGCATGAATACATTGCTAATATTGTTATGACAACTGTATCTAAATACTTTTAAGCAAATTTTAGTATAACTTTGTAGACTGATAACATTTAAGATTGTTATATGATTATAAGACAAGATAAAGTTTGTCAGTAATGTATTTGCAAGCTTTGCTTTTTAAGATTTCATATCTAAGTTTTATTCCATTTTTCTAGTTTAACTTTAATTAAACTTTGGTGAACTTTAATAAATTTAATATAAAACTTTGATACTTCAAAAAAGTAGAGTTTGCAAAAGTAGTCAAAATATGTAGTGCAATATTTGGCCATTTATGGCTGAATTAAGTAATTATAAATAAATGCATCTTTATATTGATTATGATTTATTTTATTACTACTTAAATAAATTTCAATATAAAACATAAAACAGATAATATGTATTGACTGTGCAAGTTTTTGCTCATGTATCTATATTTAAATTTATAAAGATTAGGTAAATTGATTTTTTTTATTAAAATTATAATAAATAATTTTATTTTGAATAAAAAATTAAAAAAAATAAAATATCTTTTAAGACATAACTTAAATTATATTTGTCTCAAAATAGGTAAGTTAATAGGTTATCTATTTAATTTAATTCTTTAATATTATATATAATATATATATATACATATAATATTTAGAATAAATATTAAAAAATACATATAATATTTTTATTATAATTGTTAATACTTATTTAGATTTATATATTTTTGTACATAAAAATGTGTGAATTAAAAGACCAAGATTATGATTATCTTGATACAATAATTAATAAAAGTCTTATGGGAATAGCAAAGATACATAATGATTTAATTGTATTAGAAGATTGTAATGCAATCTTACGTAAAGATTATGTAAATATGATTGGGAAAGTAAGTAATTTATTAAAATAAAATAAAAATATTTTAAATATAGAATAATACAACAGAGGTCAAATTAGGTCAAATTAATATCTGGTGGTAGAGCTGAAAATGAATTGTTATATCCAAGATTTGTAGGTCCTGGAATGTTAACAGCTGCAATTTTAGGCAATACTTTTTCTGGACCTTCAATTAATAACATATTGAGAGTTATTGCAGAAATTGAATCTGATCATCCTTCAGGTAATAAAATATATAAATATAATATTATTTCATACTAATACTAATATTTACAAATTATATATTAATAAATATATATTATACAATTATATATTAATAAAATATTTTATAATAATAATAATTAATTAAAATATTTATATATAGGTATATTATTAATTATTCAAAATGATGTTGAATATTCTATAAACTTTACCTTAGCTAAATTACATGCAGAAGTTAAAGGATATATTATTAAACTAATAATAGTAAATAATAATATATCGCATTATTTCAATAATACTAAAGAAAATGATATTTTGCCTATACTTTTTATATATAAAATAGCTGGAGCTATGTCAGAAGAAGGAAAAAATATAGATGAAATTTATTCTCTTTGCAATTCTGTTGCAAACAATGGAGAAATCCTATGTCTGAAAACAGGTTACAAAATTTTTAAAAATTAAATTATTTAATATATACATAATATACAAAAAAATTATATTTTACAGAAATGCATTTTCAAAGTATAATTCATGAAGGATATAAATTGAATATACTTTCAAATGTAGTTAAACAAATACTTAAACCACTAATAAATATATTAAATAAAACATTACAGAATTGTACTAAAAAAAGTATACATAAAACTAAAACATTTTGTACTGGTCATGAAATTGCAATTCTAATAAGTAACTTTGGTATCATTATGAAATTAAATATCTTTTCATTTATGTTAAAACTGATTAAATTTTAAAATGTTTTTAAATTTCTTAGGTTGTAGTCAGATACAAGGAAACATATTTATCTTAGAATTTTTGCAACAAATAGAAATAAATAAATTAAAAATAAAAAGAATATATGTGAAAGAATTTATGACATATTCAAATTATAGTGGTTTTCATATCTGTTTGTTAAATCTCTCACTTACTACAGATTTAATTAAATATTTAGATTTTCCAACATCTGCTTGGCCAAGAGTATTAATTACAGAAGTAATAAAAATTGAGGAGGTAATGTAATGTAAAAAGAAATTAACTTATATTATACTTTCTAAGTTAATACTAAAATTTATTTTTAGAATAAAAAAAAATAATTACATCAGGAAAATATAATAAGGTAATTTATCATAATTTTGAAATTATATCTTAATTTTGAAATTATGATAAATATAATAAATAAATTAAATTTTAAAACAGAATATCAATTGGTATGATTTAAATTTACAAGGACCAACAATGAATTATGAAACTGGTCAAGCATTTTTATCAATTATTTCAATGGCATGTGAAGCAATAATAGTATGTACAAAACAATTAAATAAAATGGATCAAGAATATGGAGATTATGGTACAAGTCTTGCACGTGGAGCTAAAGCTATACAAAATGATATTCAGGTTGTAATATTAGATATAAAAAAAAAAAACAAAATATACATATATATGAAATCTTAAATAATATATTTTACAGAAAAATAAAATATCAGGAACAAATTTATATATAACATTTACACAAATTAGTCATATCATTCAAAGAACAGTGGGTGGTTCACAAGGAGGATTATATTCTTATTTTTTTTACAATGTTGCTAAAGTAAGACATAATTTGTTATATTGTTAGTTAACATTTCAAATATATAATATTTTTTAGGCTTTTTCAAAATATCAAAATGATAAGGAATAACAGTAGACATGTGGTTACATGTATTAACTATTGCAAATAAAGCATTGGAACAAATTAAAATATCTTCTCTAAATAATGATATTCTATTAACTATTTTAATAACAATACAAATAGACTTAGAAAATGCATTAAGTAAAAATATGGATCCTCTTGATGCATTTGGAGTAGCTGTAAAAGCTGCAGAAAATTTTAATACAAATGTTTTACATACACAATCTTTTCATGTAAATAAAAATGAAATATTATATTGTTTTATAAATTTAATGATATATATATTTTCTTTTATTATTAAATTTTAATTATGATATATGTTATAATTAAAATTTGGTAGAAGAAAATAAAAATTATTTAAATTTTAGGAATTTAAGTATCCTCAAGCACATGCAATAGGAATATGGATGAGAGCTGCATATGAAGGTACTAAGTTAAAATTAATTTAAATCATAATACAAAATAATGAATTTATGTTATATATCTTATTCATTATAATTTATATCATAATATAATATAAAAAATATATATAATAAGCATATTTTTTTTATATGTATCATTCTTGCTATTAATTATGTTAATGTTAAATGATTTAATAAATAAAAAAAATAATTAAATGGTATTACATGTTACATTGTTACACAAAAAGCAATTTATTACATTATGTAAATATATTTTTGTTTTTACTTGCGAATTATATACAAAATCGTTAAATCTATAAATGTATGCGTGAATATTCTTTGTATGAACAAATGTATGTTTAGTATGTATAAGAGACTATCATAATGTCACGTGTTCCTGGCTTCTCTTCATTTTTGTCTTATCACGTGAAAAAGCTAAAAAAAATTAATTACTTCATTTTTAAAACGTGAGCTAAAAATTTATAAATAACACATTGATATTTTTATATTATTAAAATTTTATAGCTGATTCTATACAAATAGAGGTTAGGTTTAAAATTATAATTTCTACTTTTTAAATATTAGATATGTAATATTTAAATATTTTATTTAAATTTTATGAAAATATTACGTTATTTATACATATTTATGTGCACACATAAATATGAAATATATGCGTTTATAAAATGATAATAATAACAAAGATATGAAAATATATGAATAGTAAATTTGTAATATTCATACAAGAAAAAATAATATTAACAATGAATGCTGTGATTGCTTTATGTATTTTCTGTGAATCACACGGACCTAAAGTGATATTTACTACTCAAACCTATCGTAATTATGACAATCAAAGTACAGAAAAATTAAAATTTTATGGACCAAAAGAAATATTAAAACGAAATCAAAATATTATGGAAGATGGACAATATGAATGTGAAGGATGTCAAAGTATTGGAAATGTGAAATATTTAAGTAATGAACATGAAACTAGAACATCATTTCTTTCTGCTCAACAATCATTAACTCAGGATATTTGGTGTTTGCTAAAGCATGCATGCTTTAGGTATAGTAATTGTAAAATAATTTTTTTATTATTAATATATATAATATAGATAATTTTTATGTTATATATTTTATAAATACAGAAAAATTTAATTGTGTACAAATTAAAAAATTATGTTTTTATTTTAATTATTTAAGGAGCTTAAGTTGTGAAGTACATCCGGGTAAAGAAGGTGTTTGCTACTTTGGAGATGAATATAGGGGGCATGTTTTAAGTCATACATTTACATTAAAAGATGCCCAGGTGAATTATGCAACGAAAAAGCATGTTTGGTAGCTATTACAATAAATTATTCAAATCATGTCATTAATTACAATTTTAAATCAATAGAGAGGAAATCAAAAAAATTTCATTATTATTAAGAAATTTTTTTTTTCTTTTTATTTATTTTTAGGCAAGAGGTTTTCGTAAATGGTGCAGTTTTATTGTTTTTATGAGAGATAAACAGTTTCTATTAAATATGTGGCCCTTTTTAGTTGATAATTTAAAGGAAGTAATTCGGGAATTACAAGATTTTGCTGAAAAAAAATATAATGCAGAAGAAGCAGAATGCCCACAAAGAATTGTTCGTTTATCAACTAATAATGGATCAGGATCATATAATAATTCTAACAAACAACCTAGAACTTTTAGTGATATAACCAATGAGAAACATGTTTTTATAAGGTTTGTTTTATGGTTATAATAGTTTTCTTTATACATATAAATATGTAACACCTAAAAAAGATACTAATAAATTAAAATCAAATTAGAATTCACATGTGGTTGGTATGGATTCTTAGTGCAGGAGCAAGACATTTCATAGAAATTTTTCCTATGAACTTATTAGATGATGAATTGAATTATAACTTGGAACATCAGATTGGTTAGTATCATAAAATGGTATATTATAAGAAAAAATATATATGCATATTTTATATAAAATTGTATTTCTTATATTTTAGAAACTGAAGATGGATTTACTTTAGTAAATGCTAAATTACCTATAAATTTAACCTTAAACTCAAATGAACCAGAAACAACACTTGAATTTTCAGAAGTCTTAGAAAAACCCACTACATTAATACTTAAAGATTTAAGAGCTGTATTAGGAAAAGATCAATTTAGGCAACTTTTATATTCTAGTTTAACAGGTGTTCAAATTTTAGTAAGAGGTCCAAATATTCAAAGATTGGAATCTTTATATGGTCTTAGTTCTCTTATTCCACGTGCATGTAGAAGAGTTAAGACTCATGCAACAGAATATATGGATCCTAATAAGTGCAACTTTATTGGTACTTATATATGCTTATAAAAATATTAAATTATAGATATTATATCAAATGTTTTATAAATAATTTTATTCTAGGTGTTGATACATCAGTAGCAGTGCCTTTACCTTGTGTAAATGTATGTAGATTAGACATTGTAGCTGATGAACATAAAGTTGAAAATTCAAGTTCACATATTGTCAGATGGGCAGGTACATTACCACTAAAGTTACCAACATTATTAACAAAAATTGAAAAGTCACTTGAAAATGAGAAACTTGGAAATTCTGCTTTGAAAGCACATTTTGCTGCGTTACAAGAAGAATGGGCAAAGTATAATTACATGTATAATTTATATTAATATTGAATAATTGATTTTTTAAATTAAAAATATTTTCATTTTAATTATAGTATTGCCAAAGTAGTTCATGCCATGCGAGGACGTGGTCATAATGGAGATCTTTCTGGTCTTATGCTTAGCTTAGGTGCTGGTCCTCATGATAAGAAGTTATTAGACACTTGGTCAATGGGCTTGCCACCAAATCCTGCATAATTTTTAATTAATTTGCAATATTTTATGTATTGTAGAATATTGGATAGTATCTAATTTAAAATGTAAGGTATTCTTTTATTGTTCATGCAATATTTATGTATTCAAGGTTGTGCATTACATTTTATTTATATTATAATCAATACATAATAAGTATTGATATTAGTGTAAAATAAATTGCCTGACATGCATTATTAGTATTTAAGATTTGGTATCCACTTTTATAAAATAATATATTTACATAAAACTTTTTGATAACATTGATGTAAAAATAAACTTTATATATAAAAATTGTTTAATTTTAAAAAGTAAGTAAATGTTTTTCTTTTTATAGTAATAATCCTTTAGTTTATATAATTACATAAATTATAAATAAATAATATAATAATATTTAAATAAAAATTATTAATACTTTTGTTTATATATAATTTAAATTATTATTTAAATTTAATAAATTTTTTTGATTTCAATTTTTTTAAATTTCAGTCTAAATTTTTAGAAAATATATCTGATCTGTTTAATATATATATACATACTTAATATTTTGCTTTAATAATAAAATAAAAATATCTTTTTTGATATCACACAATCAATGATTTAAAAAAAAATTAAATTTGCTGTTTAATTATGATTTTATTTTATAGTAATTTAATTTTGACTAATACCTGTTAATGTTAAATTTATTAATAAACTTATACATTATTCGAAACATTTAATAAAAATCTAAAATGGAAGTTCCACAATTTAAGTACAATCGCAAATCATTTAAATTCGATGACTTTAAAAAATTTGAAATTTTTACACAATGTTCTAAACAACAATATTGTAACATTTATAATGCAAGATTAAAAGCACTGAAAGATCACATTTTACAAAAAGTAAAAATTAAATGGGGTAAATATTATAAAGATTATATTTATTATTGATTTAGGTTATATTTTCTAATTCTTAATATTTTATTTTAGCGCATTATGAAATAGTTTCGTTGTCACAACTTTGTGAAAGAAATCAAAATAATACTTGTGTCATAATAGGTACTTTATATAAACATCAAGAATTAAGACCATCAATATTAAATGAACTTAGTGAAGAACTTCAATTAATACCTCAACCAGCTAGAATAAATTATGCATCATTTAAAGATATATTATATTTAGAAGATGAAACATTACGCATTAAATTGGTTGGGACTCATATAAATATTCAAGATATAGTTACTGGTATAGTTTGCGCTGTATGTGGTCATGAACTGGAAACTGGTGCATTTTTAGTAAATATTACTTTTATATAATTTACAAAAATAATAAAAATTATAAAGTAGATAATATAATTATAAATTAAAAATTACTTGAGATATAATTTAATAGATATTTTGTTTATAAAATACATTAATTACAGGTAACAGATTGGTGTTTTCCAGGATGTTGCCCGAAATTATCAATTCTTAATTCTCAACTACTAGAAAAGCAAGGAAAAATTTTGATCATTTCTGGTTTAGATTTAGCAAATAATTTACAATCATTAAGTATAAATTTATTATTTGAATGGATTACTGGAATGATTGGCTGTGAAGAAGTTCATAAAGAAGTAGCTTCTATTGTGTGTATTATTATAGCAGGTATATTTAATATATTTAATATGTATTAATGAAAATAATCTTTGCAATAAATAATAATAATAATATTTTAATATAGGAATAGTATAAGAGGATCTATAGAAACATACAGTTATAAAAACTATTTTGAAACTAAATTACATAATGAAACTATATTTAAAAAAACTGCAAATGTAACACATAAATTGGATAATTTTCTTTATCCTATAGCACAGTGTTGCCCTATATTATTAATGCCTGGAGAATTTGACCCAACTTGTCATAGATTACCTCAGCAACCATTTCATCCATGTATTTTACCAGAATGTTCCAGGTAATACAGTTCTCTTACTAATTAATACAAAAACATTGCTATAAATCATATATATATATATATATATATTTATAATCTTTTTGTATATATATAATATATATACATATAATGTACAATATATATAAAACTAAAGATCAAAATATTTTATTTGATTCTATTTTTATTTTACAAATATGTATATACTTATCTCCATTGATGATATAGAAACAATATGGATCTTTGATTTATGTATATTATATATAGTTATATGCTATTAATATAGTTTTATTGCTATGGAATGATTAATGGTATTGTTTTTGAGATAACTATTGAAAATATATAATAATATATTAAATAGATACAAATTATTGACATACATATGATATGATAGGTTAAAAGTTTTTATGGAGTTACTAATCCATGGGTTGGTAGTATAAACTCTCGCATTATAGCTGGATCCAGTGGCCAACCTATTATGGATATAATGAAAATTGCTGGACTTGTTGACATTTCACCTTTAATATGGTTAGAACGTACTTTACTCTGGTGTCATTATGCACCAACTGCACCAGATGCTACTCCAACTTATTCATCTAGCAAAATTGATCCATTTATTATAACAGAATGTCCTGATATATATTTTGTTGGTAATATGGATAAATATGATACTAAAATATATACTGGTAAGTTTATGTCTTTTATATTATGTTATTTTTATTATTATATTTTTATATTTTTATTATACACTTAATTCTATGTTTATCATAAGAAAATAATTTTAATAAAATAAAATATTTTTTATTTTACAGCAGAAGAAGGACAAACAATAAGATTGATTTCTATTCCAAAATTTTCCAAGACACAAACTGGTGTATTAGTTGATTTACAAGATTTAAACACTTGGCCTATATCTTTTACTGTAAATTAATTTAAAATATTTTATGATTTTAATATATTGATATTCATCAATAATGTAATATATAATAATATATCTATCTAAGAAAATAATCAATTTTCTTAAATGATTTCTGAATAGTTTGTACATAAATATAATTTATAAAAGTAAATATAATTTATTTTTTTGAAATATAATCTATTAGTTTAAACTTTTTTCATATTTTATGTAATACTTTTTTAAAAATTAAATTTTATTTAATATTGTAATTTTTCATAATATTTATTTACATATGGAAATGAAAACGAAAAGAACATAAAAATAAACACATAAGTAAAATATATTTTTATTTTTTCTTTCTTTATACATAAATATATGGAAAATAAATATCGTTTAACAAATATTATATATTCTATAAATTATTCATATATGTTAATTATTAATTTTTGTTAATATTTAATTCACACATAATTATAAATATAATGTAAGCATTTTTAATTACTATATATATTAACAATATAATTTATAATTATAAAATAATAAAGTTTTTTTCATATCATACTATTAATTTTTCTTAATATCATAACTTAATATATAAATAAATTATAAATAATAACATAATATTATTTCATTTGAAAATTTCAGTATGTTCTTTGGCACTATAATTTCTTTAATATTACAGAATAAAAATAAAATTAAAATAGATAAAATCAATATTAGATATAAATTTATTATTTTTTGATTTACTATAAATTATTTGATGAAATATGTGAAAATAAATTCTTAGTAAAAAAAATTTAATAAAATAATTTATTATGTCAATATTCTTTTTCCTATTAATAATAAGAAATATATTATATTATTTTTTAGGCTTGCAATTGTTTTAGAATTGTTTCTTTGTGAAGAATAATAATTTCAATAAATATTTATATTCTTCTAACTACAAGATTTTGATGGAATTGGAATATTCATATTTAGACAAATATTCATATTTTTAGATGATTCTTGAGATTCAGAAATTTCTGATTGTGGATCTATAGCTTTTTCTTCATTTCTCATTGCACATATTACATCAGTAAGGGCAACTATATAATTTTTTGCCAAAGTTAAAGTTTCAATTTTAGATAATCGCCTTTCTTTTGATACATGTGGAATTACTTCACGTAAAGACTATAAAATATAATCATTTATGTTTTCATAAGAATGGAATATTTTCACTACAAATTATTATAATTATATCTACCTGGAAAGCATCATTCAAACTGTGCATTCTCATTCTTTCCCTCTCGTTGCTTTCCAATCTTCTAAGAGTTTTTTCTCTAGGTGTAGTTCCTTTAGATGAGTTTGATAATTTTAATTTTTCAGTTCTCTTACTGTTTCGACGTATTGTTTTATTAGCTTGTGATTGTTTAGGCCATTTTTCATTCCAGTTATCCTCGTTCATTACTTTTGATGTCATTCAAATCCTTTTTGAAAATATATTATTATATGAAATCATTTTTATTTTTATTAATTATTGTTTTAATCTTTAATGATAAATGATTAAATTTAAATAAATAATTGATAAAATGATTTTATAAATAATATTTAATAACTTAATTATAAGAAATGATAAATAAAAAATAATATTTAATATGAAAATTAAATAGAATAAATATTTTATTTGCAAAAAGATTGAAATAATATTTACATACTTACAATTTATTAAAATATTTGATATATGTTGTTTTTATTATTAATAGATCAATGAAGAAATAAAATATAAGAATGATAAATATATTTAAATTTTTTAATATTTCTAAACCATGTATTTTTATTACGCCTTTTTTCAATTTATTAATAAATAAGATTATAGTTAATTTACATTATGCAATATATTTTCAAATATTTAAATCAACTATATACAACCGCGTGTACTTGTTGAGCCACGTTGAAATGACGACTGCCGTCGGGGTGCGGCCGAAACAGCCTTCCACCCCTGGAAATTATGCAATCTATCCTGTGACTTTTTTTTTAATAATTTTTCAGAAATTATTTTTTTTTTAAATTTTCATTTATTTATATAAAAATTAGTTTATGATATCTATTTGATGTAATATCTATTTAAAAGAAGAATTATATTTTTAATTTACTTATAATGGTATAATAATAGCAAGATTAAAAATTGAATATTTTTAATCATAATTTTTTATTTATGACATTTACAAATTAAAAAATGGAATTTTTATATAAATGTACAGATATACGTAATAAAATAATGATTTTTAATATAAATTTGTCAATAATTTACAAATTCTAGTATAAAGGAAAATTTATGCAATGTATAATAATTATATTTGTATTACAGCTATTGTACAAATCAGAAAAGGTTTTATATGGATGTGTGGCTACAGGTGGGCGTATGACGTAATTCGCCCACGCGGATCTTTCTATGTTGTTGTAATCATATATTATCATAGATTACATGACATAGAGATTGTTTAATTATAATAAATATACAGATACATAAAATTATTAATTATTATTAATTAAATATAAATTATGCTTTATATAAAATTAAATATATTAAAATATATCATAAAAAATAAAACAAAAAATAAATATTTTTCTTATCAAGTTATAATTTTTTCATAGAAAAAGTTTTAAAAAATTATTAAAATTCTTATTTTATTATTACTTTTTGAATAATAATAAATAAATATATACAGTAATATAATTTTTATTAAATTATAATATAAATATAGTTTTAAATAACTAAAAAATAACTGAAAAATAACATTTTTTAATATCATTAAACTAAATATTAATTGATTTTTATTTATGCTTTATCTTTACATTTACCACAACAAGTATCAGTTTGTTTTTCTAATTCAGATTCTTTATAATTAGGAGTCCATGGTCCAAGACTAGTTGAAGCATAAAAATCCATAGGATATGGTTTATCATTGTTAAAGTTTATCATTTTTAAAGCAACTGCTCCTTCATATGGTGTAAGAAATGGTTTTTCAAAAGTTGTTCCCCAATCTATACTTAATCGTGGGCATGCAATCTATAATATAGGAATTATATAATATGTATGTATATTTATCATATTAATATATATAATATATATGGAAAATAAGAAAATCATAAACCTGTATGAAAGCATCAATGTTCTTAAATAATTTAATTTTATCTGGAAATATTTCTGAAAGCAATATAATAACATTTTCTTTTCCTAATAAATTAATTTTATTTTCTAAATTTTTCAAAACATTAAGATTTCCCTGTCTTCCTAAAGTACCAAGTATCAATCCAAATCTTCTAGTATTTTTTGCATATTCAATTGCTGTTAATCTATTTTTTAGCATTTGTTCATGATTATAAAATTCTTCTGTCAATTCTTTTCATAAGGATCATATCGAAATGCTCGTAATTTTGGATTAGCAATCATTGCTGCTTCTAAATGAAATCTGCCATCTCCTATATAAATAACTACATCAGCACATCTAATTTGTGGTGCTGTACAACCTAAAATCTTTATGCAATAATAAGTTTTTTTTATAATATACAAATTATAATCTTAACTATTTTTTTAGTAAAAAAAAGAATTTAATTTGAATTTATAATTTAATACCTCGCCAGGACTTAATGGTTTACTTTGTGGAGTAGATACTTCATAACCATTCTTTCTCATTTCCATTGCAATTATTTGTAATGCACTAACAAATTGTATAGTACTTACAAGTCCAATTTTCGTTGTAACTGGTAATGTAGCTTGTAAGCATTCAATACAATGTGAAGTATCAATTTTGATATTAACAAATACATAAAGTACTTTTATACCAACAGTTTGATCAATTGGTATTAAACAAGAATGTCCATAATGAATTAAAAAATCTGCATCTAATGCTTTTGCGGTATAATCATCTATACAACATGCTCCTATATTCATTATATCAGTTTATAATTATATTATATATATTATTACATATGTTCATAATATTCATATATAAGATATATATAAATATATATATCTTATAAAAAATCAATAGATTAAAAATTATTTTTTATTATTATATAATTTCTTACCATAAGTAACATCTCCCATTATAATAGTTTCTGCACCTGTAAAATTTTCTATAATATCAGCTATAGTTGTAGCATACATTAAAAGTCCTTCAGGCATTTGTAATGCAACTTTTTTCACTTTCAATTCTTTAATTCTCCATATTGATTTATGTATTTCAAAATTATAATTAGAAGGTAATGCAACAATTGCTGCATTTAATAATGGGTCATTTAAAATTTCTTCAGGAATTTTATTTATTTTTATTGGAGCTTTGAATATCTTACGAACTGGTTTTGCTTTAACTATCACAACAGAATCAGATTCTTCACTCATAATTACAATCTTTTATTTATAGTTATAATAAAATTTATATTTAAATTTATGTTAAAAATTTTTAATTATTATATGAATATATTTTATATAATATACATTCATAATTTATAATTTTATTTTAATTTTTTTTAATTAATATTACGGCAAAAATCTATTATATAAATTTATATAATCTGTTAATTAAATTTCATTTTTTTTTCATTCAAAACTTCAAAAATAAAGAGAGGTTACTTAGTATACTATTTTAACTTTCGAAATCGAGTAGACATGAATGTCATTGATATAGTAATGCCCTCTATTAAGATTGTAAAGATACATATCTAAAGTGTATATATATATACATATATTTTAGCTACTATTTGTAATAAAAATAATAATGTCTTTATCCCATTAAAAAATATAAATGCATTTAATAATATTAATTATCATTATAATTATAATAAATATTAAATAATATATTTTAATATATTTTATGTCTTTATATCATTTATTCAGAAAAAAATTACTAAAATAAATACATTATTTATATGATTATATGAAGAAACTATTTTGTGAATTTTAAATATTTTTAATATTTATTATAATATTCTAATTCTAATTTTGTTTAATTATAAATTTTTTGTTTCATTAAAAAAAAACTAGACAGGTCCCACCGAGATTTGAACTCGGATCGCTGGATTCAAAGTCCAGAGTGCTAACCATTACACCATGGGACCGATACAGTGAACATTTTTATTATTATTATTTTGTAGTATAATTATTTATTTTGATATATATAGATATATCTATAAATATATTAATATATACATTTTTCAAAATTTTTTATTATATTTTAATATTATTAAAAAATTGTAAATCATATATTATTAGTATTTCAAGTATATAAATCTAAATAATAAAAGTTCTGCTAGATCATAGATATAAATTGATATAAATATGCAATTCATAAATGTATTAAAATATTCAGATCCAAATTAAAAAAATAATATATGAATATTTAAAATTCTAATATTCATAAATTTGAGCAAACATAATATAATAATAATAATAAAATAAGAAGGATAATAAAACTATATAAGAGAGAACATAAAACTATTCTTATTTTATTCCATCTTGATTCATTTAATGAAAAATTTAATTATTTATAACTTAATAAACAATTAATTTTATATACTAATTGTTTTTTTTATCTCTAGAATGATTTTCTAAAGATGTTTCAAAAATATATATTTATAGCCTATATATTCTTATATATTCAATATTTCATATATTTAATATGGGTATTTAAGAAAATAAATAAATAAATAAATATATATATATTAATTTGATCTATACTATTTACTGAATCAATGATTGATTTATATTATTTAATAATATATATATAATAAATATAAAAACAGTGAATATAAAATAAATACGAAAAATGTTTAAAAAAAAAAATTTGTTTACAAAAATATATATAGTTTGGTATGAGAAAATATATTAATTAGTATTAATAATTTTTATGAAAATAAATGTTTATAAATCATATGAAGGTCAATTTTATCTTTTTAAATAAAACTCATTAACTAACTCATTAACTCATTAACAAAAAAATATTAATCTATATATTATAAATATTATAAAAATTAATTGAAAAATTATTAAAAAATATTTTAATTTGAATTTTATGAAATTTATTATATAAAAAACAAAGAAAGTATGAACGTATTGCTATGTATCATTTGATTTGTGTTTTTTATCCTATATTATATTTTGCGAGGTTATTGTTTCAGAGAAATATTATAAAATCAAGAATGTACATATTATAAATTATATATATTATGAATTAAAACACATTATAAATAGAAATGATAAAAATATGTTTAATTTTTATTCTATATTCTGACACGCCAAAAAAGTAAATAATGGATAAAAAGATAAAAATAAAGTAAAAATTAAAAAATACTATCTCTAAAGTGTCACAAATGAAAATATAAATAAGAAGACTAAATAATAAGAGAAAAATAGATAAAATAAAAATTGACTAAAAATGGGAAATCAGTCATCTTTTAAATATCAAAAATATTTCTTTAAAACATCATCTTTAAAAATACTTAAGAGATGGCGTTACTCTTTAATTTTTACTTTATATCATCTCATGAAAAGATGTCTTTGGATCTTTCTCAAGAGATGGTATTGATGGTAAATTCTTTATTTTTCTTTTATTATTTGTTCTTTTATTTATATTAAATTTTATTTCTGGTTTTTTAGAGATGACGTTAATTGCCAAATTTTTACTGTTGCATTATTTGCTCTCTTTGTCTATATTTATTCTACAAAATTTACAGATTATTATTTCTGATTAGTTTTATTATCTTTTTTGATTAAAATCTAATAATTAAAATCAATTTCGTGTTGTCTGTAGTGAATATATAAATAAATTTTATTGGCATTACATTTAAATCCATTTATAAAAAAAAGTATATCATAAATTAATTTTATCTTCATTATGTTGTAATAAAAAAATATAAACTTAATTTTTATTTCATATTTTATTTCATATTTCATATTCATATATTTTGTCTATTATTCGTAATCAAAAAATATGGATATATATTATACATGAGATATGAAATAATGAAATAATATATCAAAGAAATTATAAATAAAATATAAATAAGTTTCTAAATTAATAAATCTTTTTTTTAAATTTAACGAAAATTTTAATGAAAATGCTTTGAATAATATTAATAATCAATATCAATAATTTTTAATTTGTCTAAATTATAATTTATATTATATATTATATATTATATAAATATAATTTTTTATATATATAATTATAACAAATTTATAATAAAAAAATATATTTTCTTATGTTCATACATATTTAATTATTTAAAATTATTTAAAAATTTCTCTAATAAAATTTAAATAATATTGCATATATAATACTATTCTGCTATAATATTATTCTGATAAAGAAAGAATGAATTTTTTATTATTCAATAATTGTGTATTTATTACATTATTATTTATTATTTATTACATATTATTTATTACATTATTATATCATTAAATTATAATTTTTAAAACATACTCAATGTTAGAAATTAAAAATTAAAAAATTAATTAATTAATTTTTTTAATTAAAATAAATATAATATTTTTATAAAATAATTGTTTTTGCATGACTAATTAAATTTAGTAAATCTATATAAATATTGTTGTTGCATTTAATTATTATTAAATTTTTTTATATATATATATATTATTTTTATTATATACATATATTTTATTTATATATTTATATATATAACGTAGATAATTGAAATGCATCAAAAAAAATTTAATAATCGTGCATCAAATAAATTTAATAATATAATGATAAAAATGAAAATTTCGTTTTTAATTTATTCATTCTTATAATTTAATAATAATAAATGTACACATAATATAGCGCTATAAAATATATATATATATATCATAATTTAGAGCAATTTTTTTAATTTTTTAGTCAGAATATACATATTGTATTTATATTATGTTTGAGATAGAAAGAGAGCAATAGATAGAATAAAAAGACAAGAATAGAACTGGGTTTGGCAAGCGTGGTGATTTTACACCTACCTTTTAACCGGACCGTGGCTGATTGTATTGTATTCGTTTTACGATACGTATCATGCTTGGCCCAGGTGGTTTCCCTAAGAAAAGTGTATTTCTATTTTACATATTATTGCAACACTTCATCATTGCTGTGACAAATTTATTTAATAGCATCCTGTATAATCGAAGCTAGTTCTCAATAGTTTTAGATATCAGAAATATGAGATTACGAATAGTTGTGATATATGTGTCGTAAAATTAGAACGTGTTATAATCTACTAGATTTTTCACATTTTACAGTCATGCATTTTTTAAAAAGATATAAATTTTTAAAAATGACTTAAATAGACTTTAAGAATGACTTAAATAGATCACGATCATCAGTTTCAATGCGCGATGGTGAATATTATATTATGTTGGATATGTTGGCTGTTTTGGGCGGGTCTTCCGATTATTACAGCCTATCCCGTATCATCGTCTCTACGAACAGGTACTTTAATTGTATATTCAATATTTATTTTGATCACGTTATTAATGAGAGGTTATTTTGCTTTTATAGATTTATCATACAATCATAGTTCATCAAAATGGGAACAATACTGGATACAATATACTCTTGGTCTTTTAAGTGTAACAGCTACAGCATTTACTTTAGTTGGCTGTCTTTGTTGTCGAAGACCTAGAAGACCTAAAGGATTTCAAGTAATTAATTGTCATTTTTATATTATATATAATAAATAAAAATCCTTATTAAAGTTCCTTATTATCTAAATAATAACTTATTCATTACTAATTATAGGACAAAGCAGAAAAATGCAATCAGGTAAAATTAATATCACAAATTTTTTTAAAGATTTAAAGTTATATTAATCTGTAAATTTTAGTAAAAATTAATAAGAATATCAATTTTTTTTGTTTAAGTATTTGAAATATCATTTTGCAATATGATTTTAAACAAAAATTTTTTTTTATGTTTCTTTTACATGTTTATATATATTATTAATTATAAAGTAATAATAATTTATGTAATTATTATGAAAATATTTTATAATATTTATATGGTTTATATTTTATGAATATAAGAAAAATAATTAATATTTACTTATATTTAAATATAATAATCATGTATATTACAAAAAAATATTTTTTCTTTAAATATTTAAAGAAGTAATTACATGTATATTATTTATAAATTATTATAGTATATAATGTAGTTTAATATATTTTAATTTTTTTTTAAATTTTTAATTTTTAATTTTTTGTAAAAGTATTTAAAAAATATAAATGTGGTTTTTTTGTTATAGGAATTCAAAGATGGAAACAATATTGGTCAAGAATCAGTATTTGAACATTCTCTTGAAGGTTTGGAGTTAAATGTTCCACATATGTTAGCTGTTTCAGAAAGAGTACAATTTGATCCTTTACCTGTAGAACATATTATATCTGGTCCTAAAAATATTTTAAAACCAAAGCCATTACCTTTATCATCATTATTTTTTGAGAAACATGATTCTGATTCTAATACTTTGCCAGAATATTGTCGTGAGTGGTTTGATGCAAAAGATTTATGTGTATCTAGAGAAAAATTAAAATATTTAAGAGAGATTGGTCATGGTTGGTTTGGAAAAGTTGTAGAAGGCTGTGCAGATTTAGAAGGACATAAAAGAACTTCCAAAAATGGTGGTGTTG